CTTTCTATTACTCTCTCTTCTCTCACCTCTTTTACCCTCACTTTTCCACTCTCTCCCTCTTTCTCCCTCCTTTCTCTTCCTCTTTCCTCTCTCTTTTGTAGTAGTCTAACTCCTCTCTCCTCTCTCCCCCTTTCCTCTTACTCCCCTTCTTTCCTCTTTCTATCCTTCAACCCCCTTTTCTTTTAATTGTGTAACTCTCCATTTCTCTCTCACTCCCTCTCTTTCTTACTCTCTTTTCGTCTCTCCCCCTTTCTTGTTATAGTCTAACCCCCTTGTCTCCCCCTCCCTCCTCCTCTCTCCCCCCTCTCCATTATTTCTTCTCTCTCTGTCTCATTCCCTCTCTTTCTCTACTCCCACTTATCTTTTTTCTCTCACTTCTCCCTCTCTTTCTTTCTCTTTCCTAACCCCTCTCCCTCTCTCTTTACCTTCTCCCCCTTTTGCTTTCCTCCCTCTCTCGTAGTAGTAGTAATCTGACTTCTTCTCTTTCCCTCTCGCTCGTCTTTTCTCTTTCTCTCTCCCTCTCACTCTCCCCTTCTCCTCCCGTCTTTCTCTTGTGGTAGTAATCTGGTCTCTCCCTTCTCTCATTCCCTCTCTCAACTTCGCTCTCCCTCTTTCTTGTAGTAGTCTGGTCTAATTTCCTGTTTTGATGGAGAGTGGGTTTATTTTTCCATCTGGACCTGTTTAAATGATGTCACCGCTATTTATAGAACTGTCCCTTTGTCACATGACCACCCTCCATACCAAAGGACCCTCATATAGTCCTGGTTTAATCCTGGTTCAGCTTAGTTTACTCCTGGGTCAGTCCTGGTTCAGTACCGATTTAGTCCTGGCTCATTCCTGGTTTATCCTGGTTTAGTCCTGGTTTAGTCCTGGTTTAGTCCTGGTTCAGCTCTGGTTTAGTCCTAGTTTAGTCCTGGTTTAGTCCTGGTTCTTCTCTGGTTTAGTCCTGGTTTAGTCTTGGTTCTTGTGGATAATGCTCATTTGGATCATTTTGAATATTGCCTCTTTAAAAGCTGCACTGAGGAACCTCTACCTGCTTGTCTTTATGGAAATATCATTTATTGTCCAACTACAAATTGTAATTATAATTTCCATGGAGACAAGCACAAGATGCCACCAGGCGAAGTTGCAGGTCAGATCTATGGAGAAGTGACCCTCAAGTAAGAATGTTTTTCAATGTCATTTTGAGCAAAACATAAACACCTGCAATGGAGTAAATGTATGTTAGCTAATTTTAATGCCATACTGTGTAACATTCCACACAAAGAAATATTATTTATAGTATAGTGTATATCGTTTAAAGTTTATTCTAGAAAAACTGCATAGTGCTCCTTTAATTAGATGAAAAAACATCCATTCTCAAAGCTTTGGGGTAAAAAGTGGTCTAGTCCTGGTTTAGTTCAGTTTCGTCCTGCTCTTGTCATGATACACCTAAGTTCCTGTTTTAGTCCTGGTCTGGTCCTGGTTCAGTCCTGGCTTAGTTTGTTAAAGGTGCACTATGTAACTTCTCTGTTGAATGGACCAGTGTCCATGGATGAATTATTGCTTTGCTGGGAATGTTCCACAGGGTAGCATTAAACGTCTCTATCTTTCATTACCAAGTTATTCTGAAACACATGCTGTAAGTGGACTTGCCTCTCCACTCGCTCCACAGATCTGAGATCTTGACCTGGTGTTGTCATTTGCTAGTCTCCATGGAGATGAGTTTAATGCCATACTGGGCAACTTTCCAAAGAAAGTAGTAACATCTCCATGGAGACAAGCAGGTTTAGTCCAGGATTAGTTGTGGTTAAGACAAGGATTAGACCAGGTTTACTCCAGGTTTAATGCTGGTTTAAACTTGACTTAGTCCTGGTTTAGACCTGACTAAGTCCTGGTTTAGTCCTGGTTTAAACCAGGATTAGACCAGGTTTAATCTATTTTATTATCTTATTATGGGTTTAGCCTGGGTTTAGCCTGAGTTTAGCTCAGGTTTTGTCCTGGTTTAGTCATGGTTTTGTTCAGGTTTAGTCCAAGTTTAGTGCAGGTTTAGTCCAGTTTTAGTCCTGTATTGCAGTGGTCTGTGGCCCCTCCCTCACTGTCTCCTCCGTCACACGGTGTTCACCTCAAAAGACCCCAGTCTGCAGCGGAACAGGACCAGGTCTAAACCCGGAATAAACTAGGTCTAAAAAGGACTTACCCAGGACTAAACCAGGTCTAAACCAGGTCTAGAGCAGATCCAAACCAGGTTTAAAACAAGGGCTAAGTCAGGGCTAAACCAAGACTGAACCAGAATCAGGACTGAACCAGGCACCAAAATGGAACTAAAATGAAAACGTCTGGACTAAATGAATAAAATAAAAGAAATACAATAGTATTTTTAATGACCTGTTCTCCCTGAGCACATGATGCATAAATGTGACATGATGAGTTTGTCTCCTGTTCTGTGCATATGTGCTGCTCTGGGCCACTGTCAAACACACACGTGAGGTCTGCCCATAAACCATATGACACACGGGGAGGGCGTCTGACACACAGAGATAGGACAGTGTATTTACTTGGTTTTGCTCCTCGTTTTCCAATTTTAGACCAGTTTAGTCCTGGTTGTAGTGCTATACGCGGCAGCCCTTTACAGTCTGTGTTTTGGGTATTTCCCTGATTTTCATCTGCTTTGGCCCAGGTGTTCTCCCAATGTTAGTCTGCTTTGACACGCTTTGGCCGGGGAGTTCTCCCCATATTGGCTTGTTTTGACCGGCTTAAGCCCAAGAGTTCTCCCCATGTTAGCTCGCTTTGGCCCACTTTAGCCCGAGAGTTCTCCCCATGTTTGCCCGCGTTGACCGGCTTTAGCCCGAGAGTTCTCCCAATGTTAGCTCGCTTTGGCCCACTTTAGCCCGGGACTTCTCGGAGCGTTCCTCCGGCTCTCCTCGCGCTCTTCATATTGGCTGTAGTGCGCTCGGGCTGTGACGTCAGCGCCTAGTAACTGACGCAGCTCAGAGAGAAAAAAACACATTTATTTATTTATTTATTTATTATTTTCTGGGGCTTCTCTTCGGCCAAACTCCTCCGCGCGGCGCTCCGGCTCTTACAGGGCTCTTACGGGGCTTGGCGCGGACTGTACACGGGCCACAGAGCGTCGGAGCCGGACTTAGTCCCACAGAGGACCCGCAACACGAACACGCAGGAGGGGGACCGCTCACGTCAGCTCCACGCCGCTCTGCCGCTGCTGCTGCCGCTCTGCCGCTGCTGCTGCCGCTCTGCCGCTGCTGCTGCCGCTCTGCCGCTTCTGATGCCGCTCTGCCGCTTCTGATGCCGCTTTGCCGCTTCTGATGCCGCTTTGCCGCTTCTGATGCCGCTTTGCCGCTTCTGCCTTTGTGGCTCTTCTTTCTCTCGCCGCGCGCGTGCATGTGTGAGTGTGCGTACGTGCGTGTGCGTGTCCGTGGACTAAAAATAGCAGCGTGGCTTTGATCGCGCTCCACAAATAGACGAAGGGGACCTCGTATAAAAAGCGCGCTTCAGTCCGCTTCGCTTCAGTCCGCTCCGCTTCAGTTCGCTTCGCTTCAGTTTGTGTTCGGGAAAAACCTCCGAAGCCTCAGATCCAGGTGAGTTTCGATCCTTTCCGAGTCCAGTCCGCTCCGGTCCGGACTAAACTCAGCCCTGTGGACACAGAGTTACGTCTTGATTAACTGCCAGATAAACCAGGGCTAGCCCTTAGTCCTGCTTTAGTCCTGGTTTAGTTCATTTTATATTGTGGGTTGGGGTTTAGCCTGGTCTGAGTCTTTATTTACAAACTGACTCTCGAGGTAGGGTTTGCCTAACCCTGGTTTAACTGTTGCAGTGCAAGTTTACTATCATTTGTGTGTTTTGGCTACTGTCTCATTTTAAGTCCTGGTTTAGTTCTGGTTTAGTCCTGCTTTAGTTTCTGCAGGATTCTCGTTCATCTGTTGCTCTCCCCCTCCCCCCTCTTTCCCCATCTCTCTTAAAAATATCCCTATATCATATTTTTGTCTCAGTCTATGTTCAAACCCCGCAGTCTGCACAAGTCTTCCGTAAAACACGCACATTTCTCTGGTTTTGGCGCAAACGTGCGGATCTGCAGGACTTTGAACTCCTGGACACTACACATTTTCATAATTATTATTTGATATTAAAAAGTTAAAATGCTCAAATTTCACTCAAAAAATATCCATTTGAGTGAAAAGTTTTGGTGCATAGAAACGTGAACTAAAGTTGGACCCAAAAAGAACAAAGTGTTCTCTGAGCCTGAAGTGCAACGGTACCACAAAAACCAGGTCTGAACCAGGACAAAACCAGAACTAAACCCGGACTAAACCAGTCCAGAACAAGTCCGGACTAGGCTCTGATCTGGACCTGGACCCTGATCTAAGGGGGTCCCTGATGCTGCCTACAGTACAAACAGTTTTTAAAACCGAAAAAGCGTTTAAAAAACAAGAGTTATTTATTATTGGACTTTTTAGATCAAGTTCAACCAAAATAAAAGCAGGACTTCAAAGTAAAAGCATAGGACAAACTTTCTGTATGTGTGAAATATTTAAAGATGTTTGTGATTTCTGACTCTCTCTTTTAATCTGAAATGGCTGTACCATAATTATACATTTGTCAATGAGGGAATTTCTTTAACACTTTATTCAGAGCTCCGCGACTCTTTGAACATGGATCTTTTTGTCACGGTGACGTAAATGACGTAGAGACACGTCTGTGACACGTGTGATTGGACAGGAGTCGGTTTAACACCGTTGTTTTTTGGGTTTTTTTCCGGGTTTTTTTTTCGTTCTCCGGAGAGAGCTCGGTCTTTAGCAGGAGCTGTCCGCGGCTGTGGTGCTGAAGGCGGTCACACAGCGGCAGCAGTGCGCCGTGTTCTGAATGACTCGGGTGCAGCGAAAGCCAAAGCCGGGATTTGTTAATGAAGCGCGGGGCACGACGGGACCGCGGGAGGGGGGAAGGGGGGGGGGGCTCCGGTCCAAACCGAACAGGGAATATTAAAAACACCTGTAAACTACAGAATCTGCACAAACCCTCCTCTGCTCTGTCGGTGTCCCCTGAAACTCTCTGGGCCAATCAGAACGCTTCTAACATGAACAAACACGAGACGGTTTTGGACTGACTTCAGCCCAAATCAAACGGAACCTCCAGACCGCAAGAGAACGCACGTCCCGTAAGTGTCTCTGCTTTTTTCACGTCCCGTAAGTGTCTGTGTTGTTTCGCAATTGTTGTAACGTGTTGTTTTGAACGAGTCCAACCCGAGACAAAACCGCCCAGGACAAGATTCTAGAGCTATTTCTCCCATAACTCTGTAAATTCAGGGCGGAACGCTTCGTAACGCGGCGCACCGCAGACGGAAAAGCCCCGTGTTTTCTAAAGCGGAGCAGAAGCGGAGGAATCCCCTCCAAAGCGCGGGAAACGCCACGGCCACGCGCATTTGGAGGCACGGGCACGAGTGCATCCAAGGCGACGAGGAGAGACGCGACTATTTTAGGAACAGCGTTTTATAAAAAGAAATGTGTTTGCGGGAGTCTCAGATGAGAGAATTTAAAGAGACATGCGCCAATCTCACGCCATCCGAGCTCCATGCGCGTGACAAGGAGGCTTTAGTTTTAGTCTCGCCTCATGAGCTTTGTCATTTCAGTCATTTGGCTGTTTATGACACGTGCAGCGGGTTTGAGAAAAACATCAACCATCAATCATGTTATGGTTCCTTTTGACAAAACTGGCGCAATAAACGTCCCTTAATCTCACTTCATTTGGCTCGCAACACCGAACCTTTGTTCAGTAGAAACGTGCAGAAAATGTGTCTAAACCGGACGATCACCGCGTTATTCCGCGCGCCAGACCCTGTCCCTGCCGCCCCTGTGCCGCCCCTGTGCCGCCTCTGCGCCGCTCCACTCTGGGATCTCCTCTACGCTCAGACACAAAGGACGGAGCGGGAGATCTGGCAAAAACCGTGTTCCTTTCGTTCGTTTTCGTTCAAATACAGTGATTTTCATTTTGAGATATAACGTCTCATGATGATGAGAGTTTTTACGGCACGACTCTGAGAAACGCGTCGTGTTCAGTGTTTGGTGATAAAAACGTGCAGGGATAAAAGAGTCGTATTTTTTCTTATTATGATCTAAAAAGACAATTATGAATTTCAAAGATGTAGAATATAATGAGCGCGCGTTTTGGGGAGGGACTGTGCCAAGCGCGTCACGATTACGCACGGACACGAGTGATAAAGAGGAGAAAGTACCAGGCAAAGATCTGAACCTCTGTGTGTCAGATGCCCTCCCATCCTCCTGTATCTCTGTCTGTCAGATGCCCTTCCATCCTCCTGTTTGCCTGAGTGTCAGATGCCCTCTCATCCTCATATATCCCTCAGGTGTTAGACTGAGATGAGGTCAAACGTCTCTAGTTAATCTGCAGATGCTGCGGTGTGTCAGATGCCGTCCCTGTTGTGGTGTGGTCGCAGAAATATAGCGGGAGAATGGACTCTTTCACTGATGGAAATGATGTATTGATAGATTTGACTTTGAAATACCTGAGAATGACACAGAGCACTGTGCACCGTCTGAGAAAGGGATATCACATTCTACTGTATGAACATTAACGACGTGTTTTTAAATGATGTGTGAAACGTGAAATAAGAGTGTGCTGGAGAAGCTTGTGCCAAATTACGCCTCACGATTACGCACAGAGGGAGGGTCCGGTTTATGTGAAGCAGAGCGCATTTAAAGCGGGTTTTCCAAAGCGGAATCCTCACTACATCCAAAGAGCAAGGACGAATGTGTGCACGTGATGTCCGGGTTTAGACCTGGTTTTGTCCCGGGTTTAGTCCTGGTGTAATTTAGGCTGTTTTGCCGAGTTTCTTAGATGAATAGATAAAGCATTTTTATTGTCTTTACGTGATCGCCAGTGCGTGAGATTGTCCGTGCGTGAGACCTTGCATGAGTGAGACTGTCCGTGCGTGAGACTCAGAAATCCCGCGAAACGGCCGTAGATCGAAAGCAACCTGGTAAAACGTGGCCCCACTACTGACGGGCTCGTTCATGTGCCGCTGTGAGAGTGCACGCGAGTCGTGACTGACGGAGAGCGCGCCCCCGGCTGCGTCAGAAGGCGCGTGCACGGAGCAAAGAGGAAAGAGATAGAGAGAAAGGGAGAGAGAGTCGTGACTGAAACAAACCAAATATTTAAACCACTGAACCAGGACTGAACCAGGACTGAACCAAGACTGAACCAGGACTGAACCAAGACTAAATCAAAACTAAATCAGGACTGAACCAGTACTGAATCAGGACTAAACTGGGACTGAATCAGGACTGAATCAGGGCTAATCCATAACTAAACCAGGGACTGAACCTAAACTAAACCAGGACTAAATGTAGTGCCAAGAGCTATATTTTCTTCTGGTTGCTGCCCACAGTGTTGATTCGTGCTTATATTAGTCTTGCTCACTTTAAACAAGAAGGCTCCAAATAAAACATCTGATTACTACACCAACACTTAAGTAAACCAAAACCAGGTCCAAACCAGGACTAAACCACATCTAAACTAGGTCTAAACCAGCTCTAAATCAGGTCTAAACCAGAAGCCCCCTGTGGTTCTTAGATTGTCCTGTCTGTATTTGTGTAAAAGTCTGACACATGTAGCAGAGGAGCAGTGCATGAATGGCTCCTCCTCTCTCTGTCTGTTTCAGCCACTTAGAGCCTGCCTTTGTGAAACCAGAGCAGTATGTGAGGCTGTGGTTGGACGATCAGTGCAGCTGTGTTTCCTCTGAGATTGTCTGTCTAGTTTGCATGTTCTCTCTGAGTCTTTTCTTCTTCCACATCAGCCTAAAATATGCACGACAGCTACCACTGCTACTGACAAGTGTAAAGGGCTTCTGACAGGTTTAAGACAGGTGCGATTAAATTTTTTCTGTTGTTTTTTGTTTCATGTACTCCACATAATCTGATGATATGAAACATTGACATTACAGTGTTTGTGTCAGCTCTGAGTTGTGACACAGTTGTGTGGAAGGGCATTTGGCTCAGACACAGTCTGTGGGAGGGCATCTCGCTTGAGGTGCATGTGAATGATCCCAGTATGGTTTGAAAATGTGTACAGGTTTTGTTTGTGAAACAGAGACTTGTATTGTTGCTATCAGACTAAACCAGGAATGAACCAGGACTAAACCAGAACTAAGGCAGAACTAAACTAGAACTAGACCAGGTCTGAATCAGATTTGAACCAGGACTGAACCAGGACTAAACCAGAACTAAAGCAGGACTGAATCAGGGCTAAACCAGGACTGAACCAGAACTAAACCAGAACTAAAGCAGGACTGAATCAGGACTAAACCAGGACTGAACCAGGACTAAACCAGAACCAAAGCAGGACTGAATCAGGGCTAAACCAAGACAAAACCAGAACTGAACCAGGTCTATACAAGGTCTGAAACAAATCTGAACCAGGAGTGAGCCAGTACTAAAGCAGGACTAAAGCAGGACTAAAGCAGAACTAAAGCAGGACTAAAGCAGAACTAAAGCAGGACTGAGCCAGGACTAGATCGGGTCTACAGGTGCAACCTCATTTAAAAGCCAGTTACTCACCTGAAGTTGTATTTGGCGTGATTAGTTCATGTTTGAGCAATTTTTAATCACACACCCACTGTGACGTACACATGACGTACACACTACGTTCTCCAGTTTTATTTTTTGAATTGGTGATATGCGTAGGATTCAGCAGCATTCCATTTTTTATCTTTTTTTTTTTTTTTTTTAAAACACCCCCCACCATACATAGGAGAGGCCAACAGGATGCAACGCTTTGGTGTGATGACATTTACTGTCTGCAGAGTTGTGTTTTTGTTTTAGTTTTTCCTCGAGTGATGCAGAAAAGAGGGAGCCACTGTCTGTGTGAATGGTCATGTATGTTAGCTTTGCATTCACCACAGGTTTCTAAGGAAGAAGTCAGGGGTTTCTTTTATTAAGCTATTTGAAATAAATATTGCAATTTAAAATGTCCAAATTATAATATAATGATCTACAAGTGACTTGTATTTACAATAACATGCTTTGGTGGCTATTTGCAACACTCCAAGATAAACACATCTCACGAATTGTTTGAATACAATAAAATAAGAAGCTAACTCTCACACATGAAGACAAATTGAACGTTAGAAAAGTGAAAGAGAGCTGTGTGCATTGTGACCTCTCTGGTATGGACACTATGACATCACAGACAGGGAGATTACACTCCAACAGAATCTGTCCTCATTTTAAACATTTATTTCTTTTCAAAGATAAAGGCGTGTCATATGTTTTTATTTATCAAATCATAACTTTTGTGAAAATTAGATATACTTTGACTCAGGTTGTCAAAAGTATCAAAAATCAGATATGGAAATTACGTAGTAATTTGAATCAGTATCGATACTTAAAAAAGTCACATTCACAGGATAGAAATGAACCTTTCCTGAATGGTTTTAGAATGATCTTGAGCTGTATAAGTATAAGTAAAAGAGCACATAGATTAGTGTACACCCATGGACCACTATGGAACCTACCTGGACAACTAAGGAATTACACAGATATCCACATGGTTCTATAAAAGAAAGATCTACAATTTAATGTTGAAAATCACATTCTATTGTCTAAAGAAAGAGTACTTTTTAAAAAATATATATTATTTTATTATTGAATATTGAGTCTATTCCTTATGAAAATTGAGTTTGAAATTTTTGTATCGTGACAACACAGGTTTTGACCTTTGTTTACAGTATAGTTGTTATAGGTAACAGTTACGGAATTACCTCTACGTCTGTCACATCTGCTCAACATTACAGTAACAGTAACAAGTAACACTATTCAAATTTCATTAAAATTGTCAACCTATCTAGCTGAAGGATTCTTGTGCATGTTATAGTCTGATAGGGGAATCGAGGACACAGGGAGAACATGCAAACAGCACTCTTTTGCTGTGAGTGATGGAGGATGAAGCTTTGGCTCTGAAATCTGTGTGTGCTGTGGTGTGATGTTTGTAATGAAGTATTTTAATCTCTGTAACCTGTTTTATAGGCTGTGTATTATTAATAAAATAAATTATTTTATTTGTAATAATAATTTAAATGTATAGAAAGTTCCTGCTGGTTTTGTGTTTGTGAACCATGGATTAAATGCACATCTTTTAGGATTTATT